TCGTATCTACCAGCTATTCTTCTGCAGTGCTTGACCAGGTCATGGACGGTCCATATGATTGGACGGCAGTTGTTGAAGGAGCGCTTCCTTTGAAATTTCATCATAATCTGTGTCCATGGTGCTGGGACTTATATGCTAGCTTCAGGCGCCGCCACTGCTGACGCATGCAGCGCAACTGGAGATGTGCTGAGTGATCGGGGGCATGTTCAGCCTCTCCATGCTTGTGGCAACGCTGACTTGGAACTCGGGGATCAGCGAGTCAGCTGGCCAGCAGGCAAGCACATGTCATCTTCCTCCTCCTTCTCCCCCTCCTCCTCCGCTACTCGTCATCCTGCTCCTGCTCCTGCTCCTGCTACTCCCGCCTCAGGACTCCTGGGGGGATCGGTCCTTCACCCCTGTGGTCGTCCACGCAAGTTCTCTAAGATGTTTCGAAGGAACTCCTGGGACAAGACCGCCGAAGATCCCTGGGGCTCATCAAGACTGCCCAACGACCCCCGAGGCCCGGGACTCCCCAGGACTCCAGGACCCTAGGCCACCCAAGATCCTAGAACTCCCGAGACACTTCTGGCAAGCAGCTGCAGCTTGCTCTGGCTGCGACCGAGGCTGCACTGAGAACCGCCCGTCGTCCGTTTGTGTGGCGCGTCAGGCTGACGCAATCATTCACATCCCTCTCCTTGTCCTCACCCTCAGGCTTCCTTCTCCCCATCCTCCTTCTTCTCTCTTTCCTCCTCTGCGACCTATTTTGCCCTGCCAGCTGGTGGGGTCAAATGTTCCTCGGCTGGCGATGAGCTTGTCCGACCGATGCCGATGCCGATGCCGATGCTCGGGTGAGTCCGTGAGTCAGGCGGAGAAGCGCAAGTTCGGTTAGGGGCTTGAGTTCATGCTAATCTCCTCGAGGAGCTCAGGCTCCTAGTATCAAACTCAGGTCGGCCCACCATGGGCCATATGGGCCATATGGGGCAATCGACAGCCTGCCTGAGGCCTAAGCTCCCCATCCCCCGAGTAACTCTTGCAAGGTCCAAATCAGTTCGGTAATATTCAAACCAGTTCAGTCTTGGTTTGGACGTCACGATCGTCGTCGCCGTCGTCATGGTCGTCTTGGTCGTCACGATCGTCGTCGCCGTCGTCGTCGGCATCGGCGGCGGCTTGGTCGTCGTCGTCGTCATCGTCGTCGGCCGCGGCCAAGAAGACGGGGGAAATCCTGTACAAATGATTAGTTTTGTACGTAATTTCCCCCCGCGCTTCCGTCTGCGGATTCACGTGTGATTGCCTAGTGGCGCTTTGCCGTACCAGGGCCAGCCCTCAAATAGAAACTACGTGCAACTAGGTGTAACTACGTGTAGTTAGGTGTAACTGTGTGTAAATACGTGTAACTTGGTGTAACTCGGTGTAACTGGGTGTAACTGGGTGTAACTAGGTGTAACTGGGTCCAACTAGGTGTAATTAAGAATAACTGGGTGTAACTGGGTGTAGCTAGGTGTAACTGGGTGTATCTGGGTGTAACTGCGTGCAACTGCGTGCAACTGCGTGTAACTGGGTGTAACTAGGTGTAACTACTCGTAACTAGGTGTAACTAGGTTTAGCCGTGGTCGCCGTTGTCGGTCAATGCGCGACGCTCCTTGCCGGCACACTGTACAAGCGTACAAACGGTATGAAAACGTCCGTGATGCTAACGGGGAGGATGATACGACGAGGACCATCACCACCATCGCTGGATCACAAAGGCCAACATAAACATCACACAAGCCCTCAGGATGCCCTTGAAGACACGTGGAGGCGAACAGATCGTCCCCCAAGCGGCTCCATATAACATCCCAAACGGTCATCCCCAAAGTCACCCAAATGGTCCTCGAGCTCCAAGAGACCACCGCGAGGGCCCAGAACTGACCCCAAGAAGCCTCAGGGAAAGGCTTGATTGAGCAACGAGTGAGTCTGCAGGGAGGCGTTTCTTACAAGAGCGACGGTGTCCCAGGGCCTATCCCCAGCATCAGGGACAGACACTGCTGGGAGGTGGTCCCAGCGCTCCCCCCCCCTCCGCTGGGACCTGGGCCCAGCAGCCCCCCCCTCTGCTGGGACCTGGGCCCAGCAGATCCCCTGTCTGCTGGGACTTTGGGGGGTGAGGGCCCAGCAGATCCCCTGTCTGCTGGGCCCTGGGGGGTGCAGGTCCCAGCATCCCCGTATCTGCTGGGCCCTGGACCCAGCAGGGCCACCGTCCTGCTGGGACCTGGGCCCAGCAGTGCCACCTTCCTGCTGGGTCCTGGTCCCAGCGCGCCCTGTTGAGCGCTGGGAGGCGTGTCGCGTAACCCCTCATTTGTGGGCCGCTGGTGATCCCCCGGCGCAACCATTCGGTGCCCGGGAGGCCTTGAATGACGCCCAGCGCCCAGCAGTTAGGCCAGCAACGCCTTCTAGAACGGCTGGTATTTCGCGAAGCTGTGCCCCGTGAGCCGAGCAACACAAGCTGTCCGCGTAACGCATCGCACGCTACTAACATCACGTAGCTCAGACTACGCACGGTTGTAAGTAGTAATAATCTGTCACGGCCTTTGCGTGAACATAGCAATATCCGTAGCACATGCTTGCTCAAATGCACGTTGCCCCTATGTCGGCCAGCATCTGCAATACAGTGGTTGAGTCCTACAGGTGGCCGCAACACGGCAAGGCTATCGCATCCAGGGATTGGGCAGCTCACAGGTTCTCAATTGATTCTTCGGCGAGGCTTCTTACGTTAAGTTCGGGCTGCACTGGCATCGGCGGGTTTGAACTCGGTGCACGGGCCGCTTGCGCGGCTCTGGGTGTCCGCTGCGTGCAAGCATGGGCAATCGAATGCAACCGTGCCTGCATACACGAACTCCTTAATCAGCCTCGACACGTGAGGCCACAGCATCTGTTTCGACGGTGGGAAGACTTCTTGGAACCATCTATTCGCGCCGAATTGGCGGCCACTCCGATGAACCAGATCGATCGTCGTCGTTCCCTGATCATGTCCAAGCCGACAATGACGTGGGCACCGTGTTTATGCTGTCACAAACGCTGCAACGTAGTGCGTTCGCATATGCATTGCACAGGGGTTCCGTGCATCAATGATTCAACGTGGGGTGCTCGTGCAGGTCTCGAAGGAGATGGATACAATGTTTTGTGGATATTTTGTCGCCAGCGCCTGGACCTGCTTGAACCCGAAATTATTGCTGAATGCGTCGAGGGACAAGGCCTCGAAGAGTATGATCGGAATTTGGGCCAGCATTATGCGTTCGAACGAATTGTGTGCAAGCCCGATCGTCAAGGTTGGCAAGCTCGCCGGCCCCGACAATACGTGTGCGGTCGCCTTCGAGGCATGAACGTGCCTGTTCGAACCGCAACAATCAGTGATTTCAACGAGGCAGTCTTTTCACGGCGGTGCTCGTACACATCCCAGGCTTATTGCGTTGCCGACGAGGACGAGCTTGCTCTGGATAGAGAATGGGCATCGGCACGACGAAAGGTAATTGCCAGACATGCCACTGCCCCCTGCTGTGACAAGCCTGACTCTTACGAGATTTGCTTGACACAAAATGAGAGAGATCGCATCGACATATTCCTTCAGAAGAGGCCAGGTTGTTGCTGGGACCTAGGGCAATCAGTGAAAAAGATGTGCTGGTCTAGTTCGGAAGGCCCTCTCCACACCCTCACGTCAGGGGCTGGCCTTGTGTGGAGACCTGATCTTCTGAGATGGATGACCGTGAAGGAATGGTTCAGGAGCATGGGCTGGCCAGTATACCCCCAAGACGCAGAGGCGCTGGGGGTGGGCTGCATGTTTCTCGCCCATGCGTCAAACCCACCACCTAGAACGAGGAGCCGCCATTCAATGAGCAGCCAGATCGGCAATTCGATGCACATTAACTCGGTTGGGGGAATCGTATTCTCAATTGTCTGGCTTGACCACTGGCTAGTATGTTCTAGGCTGACCGATGGCGGTCTCACACTCGAGGCGAGGCCTTCTCGGCCTCTTAGCTTGGTCACTGCAAACAGTTCGCAAGAATGCGACTTGCATCGGAAGCGCTTGAAGCGCATCGTAAAGGGGATGTCGTCCGTTGGGGTAGCGGGCGGGGTAAAAAAAAAACATCCACATCCACTTCCCCATCATCAAAGAGAAGAAACACTGGCGGAAGAAACATCAACACACCCTTGTCCTCCTCCCGAGTCCCTCTGAGGCTTAAGCCCCCATCGCCCCTCCAGAAAGAGCTGCGAGGATTTGTGTTTCGCATGGCCCGGTGCCGAGCCGATTCCGATGCCGATGCTCGGGCGAACTGGGCACATGCGGAAACGCGACATATTGGATTGGGGGCGTTTGGAAATAAGGCTCGCCCGCAGGCGTGAGCTTCTAAACAATCCTTCCGAGGAGGTCGAGCCTAAGATCAAAATCGGCTCAAGCACTCCGAGGTTGTCCAGAGGCTCGAGGTCTTCCTCCCCCTCCCCCCCAGGGGAACTCAAGCTTAAGATCCAAACCAGTTCGGTCTACCTGAGGGCAATCCTGAGTCTTCCTGAGGTCTAAGCTCCCCCCTCCCCCGCCGCCCGAACTTACAATCCAAATCATAACGTTCTACCCTTGGTGCTCACTTGCTGTCTCACATCACTCGCTAGACCCATTCGATAAACAATTCCCCTTCTCCTCGCTGGTTTTCGAGCGAGCCGTGAAACGCCTGTCGCGGCCCCTGGTCCCGCGGCCTCAGGGCCGCCGAGAGGCGCCCGAGGCGCCTGTCATGGGAAATCGCCCTGCGAGGATGTTGCAATTTCTAAGCAAGCTTCGGGATTAACCTGCTGGTCCGTTAGTTGCTTCGATGTGATCCTCATCGTACCCCCGTTCATCTCAATGCATTCTTGCTCTTGACCCGCCCTCTCCCCTCATCCCTCACCCAAAGCCGTTTTGGCTGCGCTTAGGCTCTGCGAAGCCTGGGCGCGACTCATCCTCGCGCCACATCGCTCTTTTACTTGGCACCGTCAAGGAGCCCAGAGGACGCCTCGGCATGGATCCAGTTCACGAGGATCTCGGCAGCTCTGATACGGATTTGGAGGTTGGACAGACGCAACTTATCCCAAGCCACACCGCAGGCATTGCTACCCATATCCAGAAGATGATGAGGAGCTTGCAGGAGAGCTCGGAAGCAGGCTGCGCGGTCAACAGGGGCGCCTTTGATGACGCCTTCGCTTCTTACGAGGAGCGGCACCCCGATAAGAAAGGCGCCGTGCTGCGCGCCCAGTGGATGGCTGACTACGCTCTGCCTTTCCCAGGTTCTTGTACATACTACCATGTCTCTGGGCAAAAGAAGGGGGAGCGCGTCTTCAAGAGACACGCAATCAATCGTGATCGGCAGACAGCAACTGTGCGCTTCTATTACACTCTTGGCCTCGAGCATGGAATTACTTGGGAAGACCGAGCAGGCGAGTTAATCTGCATTCCAGATACACTGGATCCGTCTTCCTGGACGCTTCAACTCCTGGGAGGAGCCACCCTCATGGACGCCGCGTACATGATGCTGGAAGATCCAGATCAGCAGGACAACGAGCAGGTCTCAGAGGGGGATGGAACAGGTAACTTCTGTCCTACTCGATTCAATGCAACGAGGGGAGGAGGAGGAGGAACGCATGGAGTAGGGCAACAGAAGGACGGAGAGCGAAAGGTATACTTCAAAAGCTGGTTCTTGTCCGCGTGCCCTCCTCCATGTGTTCCTCCTCCCGCCAGGTCATGCAGCTCCGAAAGGATGAGGTGAAGCGTGTTGTGATTGCTAACCCGAAGACGCCAACAGATGCTCTCTACTTCATTCGCCAGATCTGTAACAAGTGGGTCCAGATCGGGTCGGCTACGCATTTCGTGGAGTCATGGGAGGAAGTTCCGCTCGTTCATGGGGGCCTATTGGACTTTCTCAAGGAGGAGCGGAAGAAAAAGAAACATATCGAGAAATCAGACAAGGAGAACGTGGCACCCAAGAAGAGAGACCAGAGCGGCATTCAGAAAGTGCAGAACGAGTGGATCCTGAAGAACTACCCCCATACTTTCAAGGGCGGCTACGAGGACTTTACCCGGGCAAAAATCACTCGCTCACATTTCGAGGAGATTGGCATCTATAGCAAGTGCGTGACCTATGCCAACGAGCACTGCCGCTACGAGTGCAAGGAGCTCGACACTGTGAAGGTGTTCCTGGTCTTATCTGAGATCCTCAAGTCTCTCGGCGACCACAAGAACCACGCGGACGTGCTGATGGAGTTGTTTCGGTTCTGTATTCCAACGGACGACGGCGTGGAGTGGATATTTCAGACCACGGCAGATGTGAGAGCCAGGAGCCCCGCGCTTATCCAATCTATGACGGAAAGCAAGGTGTTCAGACTGGCGGTGAAAACGACCGACACTGCCTTGGATGCTACGAACTCGGCAGAGCAGCAGAAAGAGAACAAGCCGAATAAGACCACGCACGACAAGAAAAAAGAGAAGAAGAGTCACCCAGGCGATATTGGATCTGACAAGAACCCTGTTTTCATTGACGACGCCTTCAATGCTGTGATGTATCCAGTTCGGGCAGTGGTCCAGGAGCAAAGGAAGCCCATCATTTTACAAAAGGCGTTGGCGACTGCGCTGAGGTTCGGCATGAAGCTTCAGAAGGAGAAAATCGAGTTCGGCCTCGAAGGTGAGGCGCCCAAGGAATACAAGCAGTGGTCGTCGCTCAGGCCTCAGCTGAAGAAATTTGTGCGACTTGCCCACAATCTACCCCCTACTGATGAGGAGGATCCAGATATCCGCAAAGAAGCACCGGGCGACGAGGTCCCACAGGGCCCACAGGAGGAACACGTCGAGAAGGACTGCGAATCCGCAGTGGACTCCTCGACCAAGTTGCTCAACGTCATCGGGAACCCCACGAACAGAGCAAAGGTGCTTGGCAAATTCAAGGCGTTTCTGGAGGACAACCCCCCAACCGACAACCTGGACGAGTTGGCCAGCATGCACTGCGTCTTGATGAAGATGTCATCTAGTATTACCCTGGCACTGCGTAAAGTCTCCAACAACCTGTACCAGTACTTGGGATGTTGCACCTGCCCCACAGACATCTCGCTCGCTGCCGTCAACAAGGTTATGGATACGATCAAAGAAAAAGTGCCCACGTCGTTCTTCGAAGTGGTCCACGGCATCGTTGACTTGGCCGACGCCACCTCGCCCGACGCAGACGCGCAGGATCTGTCAACGACGCTGGCTGACACTGGTTTCGGACCTTTTGCGGAAGATGTGTTCGGCGACCTAGCTTCTCTGAAGGCGGTGCAAGCTTCGAGGTTCCGCTACGCGCTGAAGCTTTTCCAACTACTCGACAAGCACGCGTCTGGGGCAGAGTACGAGCACTTCAAGGCAGGCGTCGCCTTCGCAGAGCGCCTGTCCGACCAACTCACAGGCTTCGAGGCAGTGTACGGAGACGACCCTCACAAGTTCTGGACAAACACGTTCGAGTATGCCGATGTGTTGAAGGCGGAGGTGGTGACGGCTCGTTCGGATGCCGAATGGCGAACCCATGAGCACACGATCAAGTCGAAGGTAACTGCAATGAAGAAGGCCGACATCACAGCTGCCATAAAGAAGTACTTCAAAGAAGACGGTGTGGACTCCACGGACACCTCTACCATCGACTCGATGCTGAAGGAGCAAGTGACCGAACTTCTGATTAAGAAAAAAATCGAGGAGTCTCGCTCTGGACACGCACTCTTGCTGGAGAAATTTAACGAGCGGCTCCAGGAGGTGTACGCTGGTAGTCTTTCTGGTGGCTCTGCAGTCGACGTGTCTGGTGCGTTGGCCGAGTTGACGGAGGCCAGTGCCACGATCGATGAGAAGCTTCACACGCCGCCCTTCCTTGGCATCGAGTCGTCCAGGGCAGCGACCACTTCTTGGAAATGCTACGCAGCTGGGCTTACGTTGACACAGGAGTTGGCGAAGAAGTACATCGGTCTTGTGAAGGATGGCTGTGCGTTGGACATAGCAGATCGAGGGCATGAACACATTCTCACTGCACAGGATGCGTTTTCGAAGAAGGGCAAACCCAAATTCGTTTTGGACGGTTCTTGCGACGATTTCATTCACAAGTCGGAGTCGATCAAGCTATTCTTCATCGGTGAGGTGGTGATTTCGACAAGTACGACAGCTGACCACCCTGGGCTATGCATCAACCTAGGGACTGTGAACATCGACTGCCAGACTTTCAACATGGTCTTGAAAGCCGATCCTCGGTTCACTGACCCACGCTCGTCTCTTTGCAACTCAGCGTGGTGCATCCGTGGTGTGCCGACCGACGAAGCTTTCATGAAGTTGTCCGATCATGAGAAGTTTGATGTCGATACTTGCGCAGGGCCCATCACGATTCACATGCCTTCACTGGTTGTGGATATGGGCAAGGCGAATGAGCTTCACCAGGCGGCCAAGAGGTTTGCTGAGAAGCGTGACGCCTACGTGGCTTACGAGAGGGAGTACAAGGGTGCAAGAAAGGACAAGGAGAAAGCTCCGACGGGCACGACCGCAGTCGAGGTCACGCGCCCGGTGTTCGCCCACGAGCTGGAGCGGGAGCAGCAGCGCAAGAAGCAGCAGGAGGATTCCTCTGGCTCCGCTGTCCAGGCTGCCAAGAAGGCACTTACCCTCCTGCTCCTAAACCTCCCACTTCGTAACCACTGTAGTATTTCTACCATCGGTCTCACTCCTCGTATCTCCTCACTCTTTCTCCCTCCCTGTCTTGTTGTTCTCTCTCACTCTCTCTCTCTCTCTCTCTTTCTCTCTCTCGCTCTTTCTCTCTCCCTCTCTCCAACCATCCCACTCCCAGTTCTCCAAACACATCATCTGACTCGTCTTCGCTCCTTTCCAGGCCAAGCACGTGCTGGGGTGATGATGAGGGCTGGATCCGAGCATGTTCTAGAGCGTGCCTGGTCCTACCTATAGAAGAGCACACGCGGCATTTGGGTTTGCCGTTGCTCTCAGAACCCTGGGGTGGGGCCCTTTTTGGGTAAGGACTTAGTCTCGCTTGAATTCAGATCGGCCAGGGTCAGTGCTTCTCTGCTTCTTGCATTGCTTCCCTGGCCGAGGCCCAGAGGTCAATAGCTCGATCGTGCTCGTTTGCCTAGCTGTCCCTGCCCTCAGGAGCAGGGCCGAGGACCGTTTGGGAGATGACTGAGGAGGAGGAAGAGGAGGAGGAGGAGGAGGAAGAGGAGGAGGAGGAGGAGGAGGAGGAGGAGGAGGAGGGGCAGGGATGAGGAGGTGGATCAGGTGTAGGAGTAGGTGGAGAAGGAGGAGGAGGAAGAGGAGGAGCAGGTGGGCACATCAGAGCTGGGAGGAGGAGGAAGAGGTTGGACGGCCTGGCCAGCGCGAGACAGCCGAGACACTTCAGGACCTCAGGAGCTCGGCTCGACGCCCGGGCCACCATGTCAATCAAACATCCTGCGTTCCTTTTCGTCGGCAGCAGCGGCGGCAGGTCGTCATCGTCGTCATCGTCGTCGGCCGCGCCAAAGAAGACGGGGAACATTCCGTACAAATGATTAGTTTTGTATGTGATTTCCCTTGCGACGTCGTCGTCGTCACCGACGTGACGTCATTACGTCGTGACGTACTCGTAGTCACCGTCGTCGTCGTCTTCGTCGTGCACGTTCGCTGTCATCTGTGTCGTAGTCTGCGTCGGTGGTCAGTGCGGCCGTCGGATCGTCTATCTTGCCTCTTATGCCCGACTCAACCCTTACTCCTATACATTGCGTGAGGGCAGATGTAGCGAGGAAGTCTCAAGCGAAAGCGCACTTTCACTATCGTTTGCGGAGCGCCTTATCAGACAACTGAGTGGCTCATTGCTCCTAACAGCTGGGTCGCCAGCCGACGCACTACTGGGGTGCCACCCAGCAGCGCGCTATCTCGAACAGCGCCTGCTGGGATCTACTGGGGTGCCACCCAGCGCGCGCTGGGACCTCCCACTCGCGAGTCCCAGCTGCTGGGCCCGACCCCCCTGGATCCCAGCGCGCTGTCTTGAGCAGCTCATCTGCGATCTGCACCTCCCCAGTCTGTTCATATGTGCTTGTTGATTGTGGCAACCAGTTCCACTGTCAGGGCGGTGCCTGGCAGTGGAAGTCGCCCCTTATCTCGGCCGCGATGATCTTCGATCCCGCGCGTCGCGAGCGAGTCTGAGCCTGAGTGCGAGTCTGAGTCTGAGGCTGGATCTGAGTCAGAGTCTGAGTCTGTGTGTGAGTCGGAGTCTGAGTCTGAGTCTGAGTCGGCCGCCGCTGCCACGCGGGGGCCGCGGGCCTCGAGCAACTCCTGCGGGGTCGTCGGGGCGATGCCGACAGGCGCCATGAGAGCATAGGGTTGCACGGTTGCCGTGGAAAGTCGGCGGTGTTTCTCGAACCGCTCGCACAGACAGCCGAGGCTAAACCTGAAATGATATCTTTCACGGTTGCAGTTCAAGGCGGCTGATCTTGCACCGCTCGCACAGACAACCAGGGCGGTAGCGGGCAAACGTGTCCAGCTCGCAGTTGGGCAGGCGGGGCATTTCCCACTTGAGTTTGAAACAGCGAGGGTCTGGGCGAGGGGGCTGGGCCTTGGGCCGCAGCGTCCGCAGTGAAACACAGTCGTGAACTCCCGAACTAGAGCTGGGCCTCTTGCCTGGGGAACAAAACTGCCCCGCCAGCCCAGCCCCCCCCCCCCCCCCCCCCCCCCCCCCCCCCCTTCCCGCGTTCATTGTGCCCCCCCCTCCCCCCTTATCCGCCATCTATACTTCCTTTCGCCCCTCAGCGAATGCGCGGCTCAATGAGGGGGGAGCTCAAGGATGGGGGGGGGGGGGGGGGGGGCGGAATTGGTCGGGCGGGCTGGCCCCCGGGCAGGCAAGGCTTCGCGCTCTGCTCGATTATTATCACGCTGGCGGTCGGCACGACACCACCATGTCACATCTTCCTTGGGGCGGGGCGCGGGCGGGGCGAGGTGCAGAACTGTCAAGTTCTTCGAGCTGCCTTTAGCTGTGGCGACGAGGGGGGGCCCTGACGGCAACACGCATGAGGCATTTCCCCCTTGGGCCTTGGGGCTTCCTTTCGGCGCCTCCGCTTGACCTCCTTTTGGTCTTGGGCGTCTGAGTCCGAAGGGCACGCCTGGGGCAGGGCTTGCCAATCATCGGGCCAACGACGACGACGACGAGGGCGAGGGCGACGGACGACGACGACGACGACGACGACGACGACGACGACGACGACAACGATGACGGCGACGACGACGATTGATCGCCTTTCCCCACCGTTGGCCCGATGACGGGCGCGTCTCCTCGCTGGACTCCGCCGAGATCTCGACTTGCTCTCTGTCCGGGGGGTGGGGCTCCACCGCCTCCTCATCTTCTTGATCCTCCTCGACCTCCGTTGCTTCCACTCCCCCCAAGCACCGCGCCAAAGGCCCCTGCGGCGCCAACTTGCCCCCGGGGTCGGGAAGCCGCGGCGCCGAGAGGGCGGCGGGTCAAAGTATCTGGGTGCTTTCTCATGGCTTGGGAGTTGGAGGATGACGAGGAGATGAGGGCGGTGAAGGACGCAGACGACGACGACGACGAGGTGACGAATAACGACGACGCCGAGCACGAGCATCAACGACGACGCCGACGAAAGTTTCGCCGACGACGAGGAGGAATGACGAGGAGGACCAGGAACGAGTTTCAACCAGAGTTTGATCTTACATCGCATTCGCTTCGCGACTGCACTTCCCTATCTCATCCTCCCCTACCTTCCCTATCTCCTCTCACATGTCCTTCCCTCCCTCTCTCCCCCCGCCCAGCCCTCCGTCCTTCACCTTACCAAACACTGGTTGAGACATGATGGCCCACTTCACTTTCAAGCCTGCTCCCCGGCTACTTCTGGCCAGGAACACAAACAACATATGAATTAAGAAGTGTAGCGGAGGCCATTGCGCCTCCTTGCCCGCCGACCCCAGGCCTCGGCCTTGTCGCGAGCCCGTCTCCGAATGTGGTGGCCAAGCTGCAATAAGCATCGGCCCATGCCACGTTGCAGTCGGTTGCGATCGGGGGCCTTGGCGCACATCCGCCCCACATCACCCGTGAAAGATTCCTCCATGAAGCAATGTTGGTATCGAGGGTTCATCTTGCTGTCTAGCAGGCTATCGATTGTGTGGGTAAGATAGTGCCACTTGGGCCTAATGAAATATAAGCATCTCTTCAAGGCGGTGTTTCTAATAGCAAGTGCCTGGTAAGATAACAACCATGTGGTCCCAGCCTCGCGTGCCGCAGCTTGTTCATCCCTCGACAACACTTGCTAATATCGGAAATCGCTTCCACTTCTTTCCGCGAACGAGCGATTGCAGTGAGAACCCGTGGGGCGGGCAGAGTATGCGGTTATGCTTGCGCCACTCTTGCATCCAGGAATACAGGCCTTTGAGATTATCATCATAATCCCCACCATAGTCCAACAACCCATCTTCCAGCATATCCACAATCATGCTACCACAATGGTCTTTCCCTGACCCCAAATGCAAATCACGTAGCAAATCATCGAAAATCCGATCGATCCTGAAGCCGTTCATGTCTACATAAGGGCTTTTAGCATGAACCGAACGCGCATGCATTGCCTGAGAAATCAGTGTGTCCCTCCAGTTTGCTTCATTGGATGCATCAGCAAACGACACCTTTTGGAGCAATTGGCCCTGTGTTTTCTTGGGGTTCACGGCGCAACATTTCATGCGCAGTTGTGCGCATTGGTATGTCCTGGGTAAATCGTGGGTGGCTTCGGCAGCAGGGTGGTCACCCTTGAACCCCACGCAGCAAAAAGACCAACCGCCAGCTATAAGTTGCTTCGCCATCTTATCCCTCCAAGACCCATCTGGAAATCAAGCGCCATTCATGTCGACGCCTGGGAACACACCTGTTTCGGCCCATGTGACGCTCCATGTAGTTGCTTTTGCCATTTGTCTTTGCACATATATTTGGAGGACCTCGGTGGTCATCAGTTCAACTGGCACAGCACCTATAAGTTGTTTGCAGTCCCAAGAATCAGCTCGAGTTGAATGGAACTCCAATGCTAAACGCCCAATTCACATTCATTGCTAATACAAACCCCGTCATAATGTAAGACAATCGGCACCGTCCACTTGCGATCATCCTCGCTGACCGCCCCGTGCTCCTGGGGCGGGGGGGGGGGGGCGGGGCGGGCAGTGCGTTGTCCTGGTTGTGACTCTGCCGGGGCCGCCATCGCGGACATCTCAGGAGACGGGGGGCGCGGGGGGCATTCGGAAACGAAAAATGGCAAGGGGATTGGGGGAGTGGAGCTCGCCCTCGTCCCCTGGGGGCCGTCTTCCTTCTGTTTCCTTGACCTCCTCCTGCCCATGCCCCCCCCCCCCTTCCTCGTCGCCCTCCTCCTCTTCCTCCTCCTCCTCCTTCTCGCCCCGTGCGCCCTGGGGTTCGACCGATGTTTGCTGCCCCGAGGCCCGGACTTCCTTCCCCCGCGTTCTCTGCAAGCGTACTGCCAGAACTCCTCGACCCCCGCTTGGCCCTTGCTCCCGAGGAAAGCCGTCGTGAATTGAATGCCTCCAGGATCGTCGGCACCCTTGCATATGGCATGGAAGAGCTCGCGGGGGCATAGAATGGGCACATCTATGTCGAAGGTCCCGAGGCCGTCTTTACATGGCAACTTAACTTTAAGAATGTCAGGTTCGACCTCAAGCCCGAACTTTTTTAGCCACCGATGGAGGCCCCTCTCTTGATTATGCCCCTGGTCCCCGGAAGCACCTAGCGTGGCCCATTCTCTGATGGTCGGATGCTGCGCGCCATCTGACACTAGATCCCTCGATGTCCGGCGGCATTCCGCAACCGATGTTTTCCCCGTCCCAATGCGGTTAATCCAATTGTCAACCGTGTCTGAGTGC